CATATGCCACACATTGTTCTAAGCAAGACACAGGTGAATACACGTGGATTCTTCCCCACGGAATTTTCACAACCCTAGGGGGTGAGCGTTATTACGCCCCCCTTCTCCGCTGTGCAGATGAGATTGTAGCGGAGTGGCTACGTCACTTCCCACAATCACGGTCAACTATCCTGTCTGAGCCCTCTGTTACTGACTGAATGTTTGTGTCCCCCCACAATTCATGTCGAGACCTAACCCCCAAGGTGATGGCAACTGGAGGCGGGGCCTTTGGAGGTGGTTAGGTCATGAGAGGGGAGCCCCCATGCTGGGGTCAGTGCCCTTAGGAAAGAGACCCCAAGAGCACCCTCACCCTTCCCCCACGTGAGGACCCAGCAAGAAGCCACCAGCTGTGAAGCAGGAAGGGGCCTCCCTGACACCAAATCGGCCGGCACCTTGATCTTGGACTCCCAGCCTCCAGAAATGTGAGAACTACATGTGCATTGTTGGTGAGTGGCCGGCCTGTGGGACTCTGTTAGAGCAACCTGAACGGACTGATAACCTTCCAACATCTCCGTATTTTCTCATTTTCCCACTATGGACATGCATTTCTCATCAAACCCTGCTTCAAAATAATGGTTTGTTTTTTAAAGATTTTATTTATTTGATAGAGAGAGACTGTGAGAGAGGGAACACAAGCAGGGGGAGTGGGAGAGCGAGAAACAGGCCTCCCACTGAGCAGGGAGCCCGATGCGGGGCTCGATCCCAGGACCCCGGGATCATGACCTGAGCCGAAGGCAGACACTTAACGACTGAGCCACCCAGGTGCCCCCAGAATAATGGTTTAAAAAGCACAAACAATACCACGTTGGAAAGGATGTGCAGTGGATGGAACCACCTTGCATCACACGCAGGGTCGTAAAATGGTATAACCATTGTGGAAAACTGGCGGTTCTGAATAGTTACAAATGCACCAATGACACAGCAGTCCTACCCCTGGACGCTTACCCAAAACACACATGGGTCCACAAAAAGGCTCGTGCAGACGTGCTCGAAGTTTTATTCACCATGGCCCAAAACGGAAAACAAACCCCATGTCCCTGAAAAATCAAATGGTGGCATATTCACACAAAGGGAGACATGCAATTAAAATGAACAAGGTTCTAATGCACACAATAACGTGGGTGAGACTTGAAACATCACGCAGAGCCAAAGAAGTCAGACACAAGAGACCACACCGTGCCTCATTCCACTTACATGAAATTCTAGAAGCAACAAACTAAGCTGTGGTGATGGAAATCAGCGCAAGAGTTGCCGATGGGTATGCAGGACCCAGGCACGCGTATATATGTTATTATGTAAAATACACATACGTAGGAATTTTTAAGTATCTATACATTTCCTCTTTTTGCAGGAGATCCCATGACTGTATATAGAATTTGATTTAAAAATACATTACAGAATTCATGGGCCCAACAGAGGCATCGTGGCTCATCGTAGGACAGACCTAGAACACAGGGCAGAGAGGGTCACTGTCCTACGAGAGCAACATCTCCCCTTGCCCTTCGCGGGCGAACGTGCCATCCCTGCTAACTTCCCGTCTCCTGCTGCAGGGCTGGGGCTGTCACTCAGGGTGCAGTTGTCACGCATGGGAACAAGTTACGTCTTCCTGCCTCTGCGCTCCCTAAGACCACCTGTCTCATGCAGGCCCACAACGCGGATGCTGCACCATCTGTCAGGCTGCCATGAGTACTGGCTTCCAAGGGCTCTCACACGCTCAGCGGACAGGGACCACACATGCAGATGAGAACGATAATTCGTTTTCTGGCTGTGTTGGATTTACCGTTGAGGATTTTCTGTAGGACGGTGTCCTCCAGCCATGTCCGCTCCCGGACTCCCCAGCTGATCACCACAATCCCAGGACTTTCAAGGATGCCCACATCCCTGCCTTCCATGCTGCCAGTGACAGGGCAGGAAAGGGGGGGTGTGGAACAAGGCTAGGTGTGGAACAAGAAGGGACATCCCACTGGAATATGAAGGTCTGTCCCTTTTCCCACAGGTGAGTGTGACATCTCCTTGATCGGAGGCCAGAGAAGACAAACGTCGTTGGTGTGGGAGCAAGGGTGCGGCCACTCCCAGGAATGCCTGCCAAGTGGAGTGGAGTCTGCAAAGGAGATGGGGTAACTGTCCTGGAGACAGCCACAGGGCACACAGGGCAAAGGACAGCCACCACCACCCCACCACCTTCGGGTGCTTTCCACGGGAGGTGGGACAGCGTTAGAACACAAGAGGGGCAGGCAGAGGCCAGGCACACACACATTTGCACACATGTGCACACACACACACATACACCACTCAAACTGTGAGTGAGGAGCAGACTGGATGATCCCAGCAGGTGGGGGTACAGAGGGTCCGTGTGCCCTGAAGGGGAAAGATGGAGATCAGCCATTCTCAAGCACCAGGAGGACTTGGAGAACTCCCGAGGAAAACGCCCCAACGTGTGGGGCCCCTGAGGAAGGCCGCCAACATACCGTTATTCACGAACCCTGTGGACCTGGCCCCAGGCCAAGTGTGGTACTGGGGAGGCACCGTCAGGAGCCCAGGGCAGTCTCTGGGGGGACGGAAGCACTCTAGTCCTCATCCAACAGCAGCTTAGGTCTCTCCATCCTGCTGCGGATAAAGTAGCCCCCACCCCAAAATGCAGCCCAGCCCACAGAGGCAGGAAGGGCAGCCTCTCACCCGCCCATGGACGCCCTCCTTCGATCCCCCCTCTCTACCTCATCCATTGCTCCCTCTGCCTGTTCATTCCCAGGAGGAGGCCACGCACATGCCACGTTTAAAAAAGTGTTCCCACTGGGGTGCGAAGCTGGCTCAGTCGGTGGAGTGTGGTGTGACTCAGGGTGGTGAGTTCAAGCCCCACGCTGGATGTAGAGATTACTTAAAAGTAAAGTCTTAAAAAAAAAATGTTTTTAACAAAAAATTAAAGTGTTCCCACCAACATCCTCTCCCTGTTCCAGGTCGCAGGCCGGGCTCCCCCTCCGCACCATCCCTTCATAGTGGCAGGGACCGCGGAGGGTGGGTACTGTAGGCCGCGCACCCGTGGTGTGCCGCCACGGCCTCAGGGAGTTACTCGAACAGGCCGGCTCCCCAGCACGGACGCACAGCGTCAGAGGTGCGTGGTGCCTGTGTGTCTGACGGGACATCGACCTTGGTCACTAGGCTAGGGTGGGGTCTGCCGGGGTTTTCCACTGCGGTTTGCCCTGTGATTAATAAACACCTCGGAGGAGTATTCCAACCGTGCGGGATTCCTGCTGCCGCTCACACTTTTGCCCTCAGCCCCGTTCAGACACGGGCGGTCTTGCCGGCAGTGACCATTGCTGTGGCGTTTGGGGTGATTTCGGGGCTCTGTCGCCCTACACTTATTAGCTGGAGTTCTTCCGTCAGGAGGAACTGCCCTTCTCCACCAGCTGTTTGTTTTCGGTGATTGCATCAGCAGGGATTTATGCGTGTTTATGTTATGCTTGGGTTATAATCCAATTCTATCATTTATCATCTTCAAAGCGTTCCGGCTTCGGCCACTGGGAGGGCCTTCAGGTGGGCTCCTGGGTGCTTTCAACAGCGCCCGTCTCTTCTGAGCACTTCTTGTCTTCTGGTTCCACGAGGTGCTCCGGCATTCTTCCCTGCCCCCACCCGGCATCAACCAGTTCTCCAAGGATCCCTGCTTTTTCTTATACTGGAAAACAGTGCTGAAAAGCCAAGATTTGGGTGCTGGGGGCGGGGGGTGCTCATGGAGAATGGACGTTAGTGTCGCTGAGCAAAAAGAGCTCGAACCCACACATACACACATTGACCACAACACACGCCCACGTCCATAATTCTGTGTGTGTGTACGCACGCACGGAAAGCAGATTCACACCGGCTCCTGACTGCAATCCGACACCACCCACCCCTCGCAGCCCTGCTCTTCCCTACTCGTAACTACTTGCCCGACAGTGAGAAACCTGGCCCCGCGTCCACTGGGCACTTCCGTGTTCATTCCAGCCTAGCGCGCACACCGCCTCAGCCCTGCTAACCCGTACTCCCGTGTGACACCAACTCACCGTCTATGGCACAGTTTGTCCAGCTGGTCCTTTACGTCCTCCAACTTCCGCATCCAGTCAAAATACTGTGGTTCTTTCCTTCCCCACCCCTAACGAGGGCCCGTTACTCCTTGTAGGAGAGGTAGCGTCATCTCTTTGCATGTCACTTCCCCCACATCCCGCCGGCTTTTCAGGGTCTGCCTTCATCTCTGCTCCTCCACTTCTAGTCCCCTTCCTCCCACCCCCACCGGTACCCCACCGGTCCCTTCAGCTTCGGGTTCAGCCTTCCTGTACTGCTGTCGCGCAACCGCGCTGATGCTGTGCATTTCCTTCAACCGCCACCCTTCTCACGTGCAGGCAGCCTGCCGTTGACACGCTTGTGCCCGCCACCCCTCCGCACAACGTCCTGTTAGTGACGCTAACAGGACGGTTCACAGAGACCCTCCCGCCCCACCACTGTCAGCGCTGCAACCTGGTCACAGTGTGGGCACGCCGCAGTTCCTGTCACCACTGTCCCGGGGACGGAGACTGGCACGGTTTCCAACGCTGCGGTGCCGAGTCATGCTCACCACCTTGTGGTGTGTATTTTCACACTGGTGGACGAGTATCCCAGGGGTAGATCCCAAGAAGCCGGGGTGCAGCCGTAGTTTCTCAGGTCTTGCCAGCTTCCCGCCAGAACTGTGTCGCTTTGCATTCCACCAGCGACATGGAGAGGGCGTGTTTCCCCCAAGCCTCACCCACAGGGTGCTCCTGCTGGACGTCCGCTTCAGGAATCTGGTAAGAAATAGTACTCCATTGTCCCTTCATCCAGCATTCTTCTAGGTAGGAGTGAGTCTAGATCCTTTTTCATGTTGGAAAGTCGTTATTGTAACTTTTTGTAAATTAATTCATGTCCTTTTCCCACTTCACCTGGTTTTGGGTCCTATCTCTCATTTTTTTTTTTTTAACTTTTCCAGGCTATTTAGTCAAGTTACTTACAACATACACATTCCTGAGAATACCCCATTGTAGTGACATTGTTTATTTCCAAATTTTTCCACATTCAACTTAAAAGGTGTTTCTTCCCAAGAAACTGAACTTTTCTGTCAAATGCGCTTGATCGAACAGGAGAATTGGGTTCATAAAATGGATTCATTGCAAACTTTATGTATAAATCATAGACATCAGTAAAGAAGTTCTTTATTCCATCTTCTTGCCTTATGTCATGAAGCATAATAAATCTCATATGACCTGCAGTAACAAACGCTGAAACAAACCACTCACTGAACTTGTCCACAGTTTTCAAGTACATGTTGTTGGACAGCCACATGTTCTCATCTACGAGGTCAAGAGCGGCATGAGCTATGAACTGGTTCAGATGACGATGATCATCTTTGGATTCTGCTTTCCCAGCTGGCAAAAATTCCATTTCAAAAACTGGATTATCATGGTGGCCCACAATTACAAAGTAGAAGCTTCCAGACATTGTCTTCAATATATAGCTCCTGCAGGGAGCTGCTGACAGCGGAAACAGCCAGTCACTTCCCTCCCTATCTCTCATTTCTTTTAACAGCTCTTTAGAAGTCACAGGTTTCACAAAGGAACAAAGAGACCATGGGCCGCAAATTATTTTTCCTACCACTTTGTCAGTATTTACTTTGTTTCTAGTCTTTTCTGCCATGCAAAAAGTCTTTATTTGTATGTTGTCAAATTTATCAGTCCCTTTTCTTATTGCCTCTGGATCCTGAGTCATCGTTAGACTTGCCCTACATCAGTTAACAAGAAATCCATTGTGTGGTTTCATTTCTTTACTCCCTAATCACTTCGATTTCACTCTTGTGTATGGGCTGAGGTTGAATCTAATTTTTTTTTTTCCAAATGACAATCCAGCTGTCCCAGCACCATTAAAAAAAAAAAAAAAAATCCTCCTTACCCAGTGATCTGAGACACCGCCTTGTCATACACTCAACATCCACATACGCTGGGGCCACTCGGCAGATTCTTCCCACTCCGCTGCTCTGTTCATACACATGCCTGTGCCACAGTTGTGGATAGAGACCCACGCATGTCAATGCGAGGAGAGTCAGTCCCCCTCGTCGCTTCTCTGGCTTTTCTCCTGCTTCCCTGGCTATTTCTGTATGTTTGATTTTCCACATGAACTTCACTTGCCAACTCCGGAAAATAGCTAATATTTTTATGGGGATTACTTTAAATTTATAAAGTTAGGGCAAAGAGACATATTTATAAAGTTTAGCCATCCTACCCAAGAGCAGAGATGTCTTTCCAATTTGCTCAAGTCTATTTTAGGTTCTTCAAAGACTTTCGAAATTTTCATTATAGAGGTCTGCACATTTCTGGATTTCATTTCTAAGCAAACTCTTCTTTGTTGCTTTTGTAAATGGAATTCTTCTGTTATGTCTTCTGTTTATTGTTCATGTATATGAAAGCTATTTTTTGTTAATTTTGTATCCAGTTACTTCACTGACTTCTGGTGAGTTACATCATGGATTCTCTGGGGTTTTCCAGATACACCATCATGTCATCTACAAAAACAGATGGTTTTACTTCTTCACCAATTGTGATGCCTGTGATGGCCTCCCCTTGTGCAGTTGCACTGGATAAACCCCCCAGGGCGACACCGGACAGAAGCGGGGCGGGTGCTCTCGCCCTGTTCCTGATCTCGGTGGAAATGCCTCTGGTCTCTTCCCACAGTGAGACGCAGGCTTTAGGCCGGAGGTGTAGAATTCTTGTTACCAGGCCAAGGATGTATCCTTCGGAAGGCTGCACAATGCCAACGTGCTTAACGCCACTGAACTGCACACCTGAACACGGCTAAAATGCCAGATCACATGTGTACTTCACCACGATGTGTTTAGAAAGTATCTCAATTCCCATTTTCTTGACTGTTTTTATCAAGAATATTGAGTTTTGTAAAAGACTGGTATCTATGGAGATAAGTGTGTGAATTTTTTCCTCAGATGTGTTAATATATTATATGAATACATTTCCTAATTTCAAACCAACCTTACATTCTGAGGATAAATCCCATTCAATCATGGGGTATTATTCTTACGTGGTGCTGGACGCCGGCTGCTAACATTTACTATGTTTGCACTGATATTCATCACTCATCCCGGTATATGGTGATTTTTTTCCTTTATACTGTCTTTAGCTGGTTTAAGTATCAACGTACACTTGCTTCCTAAAAAGAATTAGGAAGTTTTCCTTCCTTTTCAACCCTGGAATATTCTATGACACACTAGGACGCTCTGGTCTTTGAAGTTTGGTAGAATTCCCTTATGATGATCTGGACCTGTGGTTTTTCTGGGGTAGTTCCTTAATAACTCTACCAGTATGTATACCTATTTTTAACATCGTGCTATTCGTGTTGTGTGCGGTGACCCACTTTCCAACAAGCACCTACTTACATCTGTGGTACTGGCTTTACAGACCTCTGGATATTTCACTTTGTTAGGTTCAAAGCAAGTTTCACACCAGGAATCAACGGCCGAAATACAGGGATCCTGGGCATACAGCAGCACCACGAGGACTGTGAGCACACTGCGCTATAGGGACCGTCAGCATAAGGAACATCACCACGCTGTGCCATAGGGGCCGTGAGCATGCTGTATCACGGGGACCTTGAGCACACTGCGCCACAGGGACTGGGAGCATGTTGCATCACGGGGACCTCGAGCACACAGCGCTATAGGGACCGTGAGCACACTGCAACATGGGGACCTCTAGCACCCAGCGCTATAGGGGCCGTGAGCACGCTGCATCATGGGGACCTCGAGCACCCAGCGCTATAGGGGCTGTGAGCACGCTGCATCCTGGGGACCTCGAGCACCCAGGGCTATAGGGGCCGTGAGCACGCTGCATCCTGGGGACCTCGAGCACCCAGGGCTATAGGGACCATGAGCACGCTGCATCCTGGGGACCTCGAGCACCCAGTGCTATAGGGACCTCGAGCACCCAGGGCTATAGGGACCGTGAGCACGCTGCATCATGGGGACCTCGAGCACACAGCGCTATAGGGACCGTGAGCACGCTGCATCATGGGGACCTCGAGCACCCAGGGCTATAGGGACCATGAGCACGCTGCATCATGGGGACCTCGAGCACCCAGGGCTATAGGGGCCGTGAGCACGCTGCATCATGGGGACCTCGAGCACACAGCGCTATAGGGACCGTGAGCACGCTGCACCGCAGGGACAGTGAGCAGGCTGCACCATAAGCCAGACTCAATCTGGCAAGTTTAACTAGGCATACGGCCAGCATGTGGGGGACCTGCTATTTCTGCTCTCGGGGTCAGATAAAGAAAGCTGGAGAACAGAAGCAAACGATCACATGATCTTAAGTGAAGGACAGTGTCTTCCTTGTTTGCTTCGTAAAAAGAAGCTGAAAGCATGAAGTACCACTTTGCACTGGTTCGTAAAAACCACTTCATTTTCTTTGATCAGCGTATTTCGTACAAGGAGCAGAGGCTCTGCACCAGTTTTCGGTGAAGTGGCTTTCCCGCTCTGCTGGTGTCCCCCGCGGACGGCCTGTGTGCCATCCCCTCAGCACAGACCTGAGGATGACCGGCCCTGGAACTGCAGGCTCGCGGGAGCGTCTCCTTTGTCGTCACAGTCCCTGCACATGCTGACATACGCGAACCACCCAGCGGGACACACAGGTACGGATCCCTGCCCCTGCAGGCCTGCCAGGCCCCCTCGCAGGCGCTTTCCCCTCCAGACATCTTCCCTCTCCCGGCAAGCCAGCAAAAAAGCAAAAACCAGAGGAGCCATGAAAACAGCTTTATTATTCTAGTTTTTTCATTTCTTTGTCACGAAATTAGAACCAGCAAAGCATAACGCCAAATGTAGGGCTTGCAATTTTCTGCTTCAAAAACTGGCAAACCCCACTGAAAATCCTAGAAAGTGCCACTTTGCTTCCATTTCACAGTAAAAAGCCAGGATTGGGCGGGGGGGGAAGAAACGGACAGCTTCTGACGTGAAATCAGTCTTTGTGCACGTTGGAATCAGTCTTTGTGCACACTGGCCTCCCACCGGGCTCCCATCCCCTCACGGTGGCAGGGGTGATGGTCCTGCCCTCCATCCCACACTGCCGTCCCCCCTTCCTAAACAGACTCTTTCAAAGGTACACAGAGTGGAGAAAACCTTTCTGAATACAGTACGATACCCAGAAATCATAAATAAAAAGATGGGTAAATTTGGCTACCAAAAAAAAAAAAACAATCTGTACTAAAAAGCAAACAACAGGGGCACCTGGGTGGCTCAGTCATTAAGCGTCTGTCTTTGGCTCAAGTCATGATCCCAGGGACCTGGGATCAAGCCCCGCATCGGGCTCCCTGCTCAGCGGGAAGCCTGTTTCTCCCTCTCCCACTCCCCCTGCTTGTGTTCCCTCTCTCACTGTGTGTCTCTCTCTGTCAAATAAATAAATAAGATCTTTAAAAAAAATAAGTAAAGACTTTTTAAAAAAATAATAAAAATAAAAAGCAATCAACATTTAAAAAGCCAAAAGCCAAAAGGAGGGGCACCTGGGTGGCTCAGTCGGTTAAGCGACTGACTTCGGCTCAGGTCATGATCCTGGGGTCCTGGGATCAAGCCCTCCACACTGGGCTCCCTGCCCAGCGGGGAGTCTGCTTCTCCCTCCCCATCTGCTTGATGCTCCCCCTGCTTGTACTCTCTTTCTCTCTCCGTCAAACAAATAAATAAAATCTTAAAAAAAAGAAGCCAAAAGGAAAAATGGAAAAAATTTGCAATTCATACAACAGATGAGAGGCTAGAAAGATCACTTTCAAATCAGTCCCCCACTCTCCCCAAAGTACACCAAAGAACCAGGCAAAGATTATTCACAGAGAGCTCAAGTAAAGATGCTCTACCTCGCTTACCACCAGATAAATGTAAATTAAAACTGCAATAAAAACTTCTGCCTCTGACCACAGGGAGCACGATGGCCTTTCCATTATAACCAACCGGAAGAGCGTGGGTCAGCAGTTCCTATGAAAGGCCACATCCTCGAGGATCTGCACCTAGAAGTAACTCCTAACTGTGGCACAGGAAGAGCAACAACCTCCTGAGTCGAGGTGGAGACTGGAACTCAGGCAAGGCAGCTCAAATCTGGGCCAGAGCGCCTAAGAGAGAGGTCCTCACACATGGCTGCACCCCATGAGGCCAGGGAAAGTGAGTTCTGATGAAGAACGATCTCCATGCATCCCCTCCAGCCAGTGCATGGACTTCACTGAACTTGCAGGGTGTCCAGCAGGGACACCAGGTGGATGGCACCTCAGAGGTGGGACTACTCCAGATCCGTCCCCTAAGGAACTCAAAGGACTGGCTTCATCCACAGTGTGCCTGCCTACCAGAGCAAGTGAACTGTTCTTCAAAGGAATATAACAAATCTCAGCACTCCACCATGAAGACGCCATGGCATCGGGCAGTCAATCAGAAACTTCCTGGATGTACTCAAGTCCCTCTACGTGTCCTATAAGCAGAAAATAAACAGTCAACAGAAGCAGACCCCGAAGTGTCAAAC